CCCGGAACGACGGCATTGAGATGTTCTTTGAATGTCACCACCTGATCCCGTTCGATGACGACGGTGTCATCCACACACCGAGCCCAGAATTCCGGTCTGTGGTTCCGGAAAACCAACCACTCCAGCCGTTGTAGGACTGCCCTGCCGATGAATCCCGAAATCGGCGAACCCATTGGTGTGCCCTTCACTTGCTCATAGACTGCTCCGTCGAACTTAAAGTACGTCTTGGTACAGAACTTCAGGAGCTCGTTGTGGTTGCGTTTGAATAAGTTCTGTAAATAGCGCACTCATTTTGCATCCATTGTCTGATTCTTTTTCTAATAATAACTGTGTGAATAAATCAGGAGGGAATGACAGATGAGACTCTGGTTCTATTCGTAGGAGGCTTGTTCCCTCAGTTATCCAGAACTCTGACTGTCAGCATGAGTGTGTGCAGCCGCGTTCCAATCGCTGAGGCCGGTTACACGGTAAGAAAGACGTCCTGGATGTGCAATTTGTAGGCCTGGGAGGCATTTCCAGGTGGCATGACAGCGACTTGTGACAGATGTGTTGACGATAAAGGTGAGTAGCGTAGTTGCAACAAGGCATGCATATATTTGCGCGTCAGTACTCGGTCAATTAATGAACAAGGAAACCAATTTGTGCTGTTTTCGGGTTGGGCTACACCTATCTTTTTGAGAGAACAGGACCGCGTCATTTGGCAGTAGGTGTGTAGGACACGATACACAAGGGGTTCAACTTGCACAGTACGTAGCAGGCAGCCAGGCCTCCGCGTCTTGTTATCAGTCTGCGCCATTGCCCATGTGTCCATGGAGCCTGTTCCGTAATCTTTGCTACGTTAGCGCAAAAACAATAGCCGCCCCCGGTCTCAACTTACAGAACTGGCCTACTTGCAGTTATGCCGTGAAGCATCAATCTGAGGTGGTGACTGGGATGGATGATTGGGGGCTCAGAACGCCCCCTATAAGCGCCTTCCTACTGTCGTCAGGTTCAACAAACGTTTCGTAAAAGTGGCAGACTCCTGAACCTCGAAGTGGACTCCACCTCTTTGCAGCCATCATGCACTGTCACCATTCTTAGGAACATTTGTCATCTTTTTAAACAACAATGAGACTGATTGAAGAGAAGACAATTATTTGCTCTTGTGTTTGAGTGCGAGATGTCGATTTGCGTCCTCATAACCAAAATGCCTGTGTGCAGGTTAGAATTCAACTTGTCGCTAAACTCCCCCGGGCGTTTTTTCAACGTGCAATCACATAAATATCTACCTGCTGCAAAACCCAGTATGCTCACGATCGTCCGGGTACTCAGATTTGGACCTTAGTGGCATTTTGCATGTGTTAGCTGGGAGCACACAACTTTTATGATATGACGGTTTGGCACTTAGCTGCGACTGTCTCTGATGATGGGTTCGAGTGGAAATCCAAAACGCCAGGCCAATGAATTTCTTGTTCCATCGATCACATCTTCGTCTTCTGGTTTTCGGGGCAATCTGAATGGGTGTCCAGTTGGGGTGTTAGGTACACCGAGGGGTGGTGTTTAAGCAGGTCATGTTGTGGTTGCAGGGGAGGTGCGTTCAAGTGGCTGTTTGGGTAGCCGCGACCCCTTGGACGCATGTGTGTCCGAGCTTCGCCAGTGGCCACTGCCGTCTGAGAGGACAACACCGGGTTCTGTGCTCAATAAATCCCTCATTCTGGTTTCTTCCGTCTTCTCTCCTCAACTTGGGATCTGACACGAGAATGGTAGCGCACAGACAAGGACACAGAGTACTTACTCTAACCGCTTAGTCGCCACACATTAGTGACAAACCCGACGTGATTGACGCGCAATCTCCAGACGTGGCTGAACTCAACCGCCCCAAAATTCCCACTCCACTTCGCCCTGCTGTTTTTCCTGTGTCACACATCGTGCCCATGGATAGGAAAACACAGTGGCCGACAGCCTCTCGTCCTTCGAGATGGATGTTACGAGCAAACCTCGGCCATACAAGTCCGGTTTAAACCTCAATCGAACTGTGCAGAGCAGTCCTACAAATTTGTTGCCATCTGAACATCAACTCTTTTGTCTGAGACATTCTTCCGCTCATTATCGACGAAACCATCATTCGGGAGCTGCTTGCGTAGACTCAATATGCCATCGCATATATAGCGATGAACCTTCACACTTTCGACATTGCGTTCTCTCCCAATTTTTGTGTCTGGATGACAGTGAGCCTATTTCACCGACGCATTCGTCCGACTCAGCAGTCACTGGGATGCCTTGTGTCCGAAACGTTCTTCCGTCTCATACCAACGTGCCAACTCACCGGCACACGTTGACGAGACAACGCCAGCACACCCAGTCTTGATGCCTCAACTGCACCTCTGTACAGGTCGCAGCATCCCCACTGGCACGCGGTCCG